CCCTTGGTAATGGTTGCAAGAAAGGGGCAAAGCAAGTACATGACAGCATAGTCCTTAGAGGAAGGGCTGTGGGAAGGTTGAAATCTGTATTATTCAGCTTGAACTGCCATAACAAATTATTTAGAGAGGGTGGTGTAAACAACAGGAATTTATTTTCATGGCATTAGAGGTTGAGAGGTCTAAGATCAAGATCTGGCAGGGTTCAGCTTCTGATGAGGGTTTTGTCTGTGGCTTGAAGATGGCTACCTTTTTGTGTCCTCATGCAGCCTTTCCTCAGTGCTTGCACGTAGATGGTGAGACAGGTTTTCCTCTCTTCCTCTTTCTATAAGACTACCAATTCCTTTACATCAGGACTTCACCCTTACGTCCTCATTTAACGTTAACTGTTTCCTAAAAGACCTATTTCTAAAATCAGTCACAGTGGGGTTAGGGCTTCAACATAGGAACTTTGAGCAACACAGTTCATTCCATAACCACTAACGGTACTATACTCAGCTATTCAAATTCAATTAGGGCAGACATTTCTAGAACAGCCACAACACTGACATGTTCATTGTAGTATTACCATCCAGTCAATAACCAAAGCAGGAAAGGTGGAATTTATCCTAAACTCATCTTCCTTACCTCCATATTACCATGCCACAGTACTTAACATCTCTTAACTAATCTTAATCTATCTCCCATTTTCCCGTTCTTCTCTAGTTTTGAAAATGCCTCTTACCTGGCCTGCTTATCCCTAGCTTCTCTTGCTTTTTGTATGTCCTCCATACCAATACCAGAGTGATCTTTCTAAAGATGACTGCCAAAATAAACTTCTAATTAAATCTAACTCTTTAATGTCTGGGTGCAGTGGTGGCTTACCCTGTAATCCCAGCACTTTGGGAGGCTGAGGTGGGTAGATCACTTGAGGTCAGGAGTTCAAGGCCAGTCTGACCAATGTGGCAAAATCATGTCTCTACTAAAATTACAAAAAAAAAAAAAAAAAAAAATTAGCCATGTGCCTGTAATCTGAGCTACTCGGGAGGCTAAAGCATGAGAATCTTGAACCTGGGAGACAGAGGTTGCAGTGAGCTGAGATTGCACCACTGCACTCCAGCCTGGGTGACAGAGCAAGATTCTGTCTCAAACAAAACAAAACAAAAAACAAATTTAAACTCTTTAAGAATTGTATGCAGGGCCCTCAGTAATTTGGCCATTACTCACATCTCCAACCTTATCTCTGTGTTTCCTTTTTTCCTCAGCCCCCATCCAGGTACTACTTAAGAAACTACTTGCAGTGCTCAGAAGGTACCATGCACTCTTGCATATATGTAGGGAGCGCTTTCATCAGACCTTCTCCCCTACCTATTCTTTAAAACTCTGCGCAGGGGTCTGTGACTCCAGGAAGCTTTCCCTGACTTCTCAGTTAAGCTTGGATGTCCCTCCTTTGGGTTCTTGTATTTTAATTGTTTACTTCTTTTCCTTTCCTTCAGTTGAACGTGAGTTCCCAGATTGTAGCATCATTTCTCCAATTCTGCTACTAGTCAACATGCCAGTCATGTAAGTGCCCCATGTATGCTTGCAGAATCAGTAAATAACAGAATTTGAGTCTTTTTTTAATCCCTTGACCTTCTCTGCATTTTCTTTTATTTTCTCTTCTTTTTTTTGTTTTTGTTTTTGTTGTTGTTGAGAAGGAGTCTTGCTCTCTTGCCCAAGCTAAAGTGCTGTAGCTTGATCTTGGCTCAGTGCAGCCTCTGCCTCCTGGGTTCAAGCGATTCTCCTGCCTCAGTCTCCTGAGTAGCTGGGACTACTGCATTTTCATTTCAGGTAGTTTATCTGGCAGTTTATAAAGGAAGAACAAGAATATTAATCAGGTGCAGTGGCCCATGCCTATAATCTCAGCATTTTGGAAGGCCGAGGCAGGCAGATCACGAGGTCAGAAGTTTGAGACAAGCCTGGCCAATATGGTGAAACCCCATCTCTACTAAAAATTCAAAAATTAGCTGGGCATGGTGGTGTGCAGCCATAGTCCCAGCTACTCGGGTGGCTAAGGCAGAAGAATCACTTAAACCTGGGAGGTGGAGTTTGCAGTGAGCCGAGATCGAGCCACTGTACTCTAGCCTGGGCGACAGAGCGAGACTCTGTCTCAAAAAAAAAAAAAAAAAAATCAGTATTTGAAGTATGTTGTGAAGTTAAGCTTCTTTAATACTTGATTTTCTTTCATTTTGGTGGAGAAAATAGAATTGATACATCTTATTTTCTTGAATAAATTTAGGAAGATTTATAAATGTCAACTTGAAAATAAAAATTATGTTCATGAATGCTTTCTTGATCAAAGCCTGTAAAAATGAGGGAGAAGTTTAGAAGAACAGATGCTAAGAAAAGGCTGAGTGATTTCTGTTGGATGACTGTATGATGTTGGTGGGTACTGTGACATTTCTGTGCTTTTAGAGCTGTATTTCAATAGTGTTACCCAAAAGTAGGAATTATGACTGAAAGTGTAAGAATTGCTGTTATGGACAATTGACTTTATGGCAAACTACTTGCAACCGTGCCTTTGTCTGCTACTTCAGGTACTGCTGAGGCAACTATGAATGATACAAATGGTAAATTTAAATGCAATAACAGATGCTGAGCAACTTTGACAAGCTGCAAGCCATTGAAACAAGCCCTTTTAATGTTGTATTCCTTTTTCAGTCAGAATTAAGATAACTAGAAAATTGTATGCATTTGGGGCAGTTTCTCTTCATAGAGTTATTTTTAGTATAAAACATATTTTCACTTGTTAGTTGCCATATAATCTGCATTGAGCAGAATGATTTGTGTTATGTTTCAAATGCTGATTCTCTACTTCATGAAAGCTCTGCCTACATGTTACCACTGCAACTTGTTGAAAAGTAAAATGATTACTCAGTCAGTCCCTATTTCTAAATAATACCAAATATTCTATTTTATTTTTATCCCCTGCTGACACTAGTGTTATCAACAAGTTGTTGGAGAATCTTATGATCACAGGTAAAATCTTTGAGATTTATTAAGGATTAGGGAGCTCTCTGATTATATTTAAGTTTTACAGGAAGCATGAAAGCTAAAATGATTTTATATGTTTATTTTTTTCCTAAGCTAGCATGTACATAGCAGGATTGTTAGATAAAATAACAGATGCCCAGTTAAGTTTGAATTTCAGATAAATAACATTGGATTTTATTATAAATATGTCCCAAGTATGGCATGGGACATAGACTAAAAAATTATTCATTTACCTGAAATTCAGATAGCTAGCATCTGTATTTTTATTTGATAACCTGGCAACCCTATATTAAGATACAAAATTTAAAAAACACAAAAGTAATGCAGTACAAAGTAAGATTATCTCAGTGTCCTCCAACCATGGCATATCCCACTATTAGTATCTTTGAAAAAGTTGCATAATAGTCTGTGCTTTTATAAACATAAACCTATCAGTTTTTACTTACCTAAGCAATTACCCTCCTCTTTTTCTGTACAAAGTGGAGCACCTTAATGTGTTCTTCTGTATATTCTTTTTAGTAAATTTGACAATATATTTTCATCATGTGATTTTGCAAGACAGTTTGGAAAATATGCCAGTAGTATGATAGAGTTTCGGCTTTAAAATCAGGTGCACTAGGGTTCAATTCCAAGTTCCCCCACTTACTAGCTGTGTGACCTTGAATAAGAATGCGAAGTCTCCTTTTCTCTGTTGCGTTATCTGGAATAATGTGCCAGGCATGGGAGGATATTGTGGGGAGCACCAAGTATCCTTCACAGGATATTGTCAGAGTCCCCACATGCATGATGGATCGTGCCTAAACTGCACTTGCCTAACACTGTGGTGCCTAACAGATACTGAATTCATTGAGCTATTATTGGTATGTCTTGTGGTTCTGAGAGATAAGGCTATTGGAACAGATTTTAGGTTCAATCATAACCTAATAGTGATACAGCCACAAGCAGCATACATGAACAGCAGCTAGAGGGGAACTGGTATTTTTTTCTGTACCAGATTTGAATACAGTTGTCCCAACCATTGGAACATGGAGGGCCTGAAACCAGACATAGTGCCTTACCCTATATATACAGGCCTATTTTATTTTATTGTATTTTGCTTTATTGTGTTTTGCCGATACTGCATTTTTGTAAACAAATTGATGGTTGTGGCAACTCTGTGTCAGGCAAGTCTATTGGTGCCATTTTTTTTTTTTTTCCAATGGTATGTGCTTACTTTGTGTCTGTGTGTCACGTTTTGTTAATTCTTACGGTATTTCGTGCTCTTTATTATTCTTAGCCTGTTACAGTGATCTGTGATAAGTGATCTTTGATGTTACCATTGTAATTATTTTGGGGTGCTACAGCCCTGCCCATTTAAGGTGGTGAACTTAATCAATGTTGTATGTGTTCTGACTCCTACAACTGGCTGTTTGCATTATCTTTGGAGCTTCTGAGGCCTAGAAGCTCAAAAGCTAGAAATAATTTAGTGAGGAAGGCATGTTGAAAGTAGAGATAGACCGAAAGCTAGGTCTGTTGTGCCCAACAGACAAGTTGTGAATGTGAAGGAAAAGATCTTGAAGGAAATTAAAAGAGCTTCTCCAGTGACTGCATGTAAAGCAAAACAGTCTTATTGTTGGTATGGTGAAATTTTAATGATCTGGATGGAAGATCCAACCAGCCACAACATTCCCTTTAGCTAAAGCCTAATACAGAATAAAGTTTTAACTCTGCTCAATTCTGTGAAGGATGAGAGAGGTGAGGGAGCTACAGAAAAAATGTTGGAAGCTAGCAGAGGTTGGTTCATGAGGTTTAATGGAAGAAGCCATCTGCATAACATAAATGTGCGAGGTGAAGCAGCAAGTGCTAATGTAGAGGTTTCAGAGAGCTATCCAGAAGATCTAGCTGAGATTATTAATGGAGGTGGCTTCACTAATCAACAGATTTTTAATGTAGGTGAAACAGCTTTATATTGAAAGAAGAGGCCATCAAGGATTTATTCATTTATTTATTTATTTTGGCTGAGCACAGGGGACTTTATTGATGGTACATGACAAGGTGGGGCTCCCTAGGCCCCTCCCTGTTCAAGGGTCTGCATGGAAACTGTGAGGAGGGGCAATTCACTGTGATGGGGGACTCTGTGGCAGGGACTCCCCAGCAGTGAGGGCCTCTCTTCCACTCGTGCTCTCGCTGTGGCTGGTGGTCCAGGGGTCTTACTCCTTGGAGGCCATGTGGGACATGAGGTCCACCACCCTGTTGCTGTAGCCAAATTCATTGTCATACCAGGACATGAGCTTGACGAAGTGGTTGTTGAGGGCAATGCCAGCCCCAGCATCGAAGGTGGAAGAATGGGTGTCACTGTGGAAGTCAGAGGACACTACCTGGTGCTCAGTGTATCCCAGGATGCCCTTGAGGGGGCCCTCCGTTGCCTGCTTCACCACCTTCTTGATGTCATCATATTTGGAAGGTTTTTCCATACAGCAGGTCAGGTCCACCACTGACACATTGGCAGTGGGGACACGGAAGGCCATGCCAGTGAGCTTCCCGTTCAGCTCAGGGATGACCTTGCCCATGGCCTTGGCAGCACTAATAGAGGCAGGGATGATGTTCTGGAGAGCCCCAGTGCCATCACGCCACAGTTTCCCGGAGGGTCCATCCACGGTCTTCTGGGTGGCAGTGATGGCATGGACAGTGGTCATGAGTCCTTCCACGATACCAAAATTGTCATGGATGACCTTGGCCAGGGGCGCTAAGCAGTTGGTGGTGCAGGAGGCATTGCTGACGATCTTGAACTATTTAAATCCATCAAGGATTTAAATAGTTCTGAGAAGTCAGTCCGTGGCTTCAAAGCTTTAAAGAGGCTAGCTTTCTCATTAGGAGCTAATGCAGCTGGTGATGTCAACTGGAAGCCAGTGCTTACTTGCCATTTCAAAAATTTTAGGGCCCTTAAGAGTTATGCTAAATCTGCTGTGCCTGTATTCTCTGTACATGGAAAAAGAAACCCTTGATAACAGCACATCTATTTATAGCATGGTTTACTGAATGTTTTAAGCCCACTGCTGAGACCTACTGCTCTGAAAAAAGTTCTTTTAAAATATATTACTGCTCATTGACAAGACACCTGGTTATCCAAGAACTCTGATAGATTTTATAAGGAGATGAATGTTTTTTTCATGTTGGTAACACAACATCCATTCTGTAGCCCCTGGACCACAGAGTAATTTTGACTTTCGAGTCTTATTATTGAAAAAATATGCTTTGTAAAGCTATAGCTGCAGTACTTAATGATTCCTCTGCTATATTAGGGCAAAGTAAATGGAAACCTTCTGGAAAGGATTTACCACTTTAGATGCCATTAAGGTATTTGTGATTCATGGGAGGAAGTCAGAATATCAACATTAGCAGGAGTTTGGAAGAAGTTGATTCTAACTCTTATGGATAGCTCAGAGGGTTCAAGACTTCAGTGGAAAAAGTCACTGAAGATGTGGTACAAATCTCAAGAGAACTAAAATTTCAAATGGAGTCTGAAGATGTGACTGAATTACTGTACTCTCATGGTAGCGTTTGAATGAATGAGGAGTTGCTTTTTATGGATGACCAAAGAAAGTGGTTTCTTGAGATGAAGTGTGTGCCTGGTGAAGATGTGAACATTGTTGAAATGAAAACAAAGGATTGAGACTCTTACATAACTTTAGTTGATAAAGTACGAGCAGGGTTTGAGAGGTTCTATTGTGGGTAAAATGCTATCAAACAGTAATCACATGCTATAGAGAAATCTTTTCTGAAAGGTAAGAATCAATCAATGTGGCAAAGTTCATTGCTGTCTTATTTTCAGAAACTGTTACAGCCACCCAGGCCTTCAGCAAACCACCACCCATGAGTCAGCAGCCATCAGCACAAAGGCAAGACCCTCTACCAGCACAGACTGTGACTCACTGAAGGCTCAGATGATCACTAGCATTTTTTGACAGTAAACTTTAAAAAAATGAAGATGTGTACATTGTTTTCTTAGACATGATGCTGTTGCACATTTAATAGTCTACAGTGTAGCATAAATGTAACTTTTGTACACACTGGGAAACCAAAAAATTCATGTGACCCCTTTTATTGAGAGATTCACTTTATTGCAATATCTCTGAGGTATGCTTGTACCATTTTTTTTTGTAAATACATACCTATGATAAAGTTTAATTTACAAATTAGTCTCGATAAGAGATTAACAACAACTAATAATAAAATAGAACAATTACAACAATATACTGTGTATTCTTAATTCTCTTTGTTTAGGGATTTATTACCTTGAAATGTAAAAGCAATGTTTTTGAATGTACTTTGGATATCAATTTAAAGAGCCTTACTTCTTGAGGGTTTTTCTTAAAATCTTGGATTTTAAAATTGATTTGTTTAAAGATTTATGAACATGAACATTACATAAATGGTGATTATTCCTGATCTTTCTTTGATAGACCCACCAGTGTTATGTAAAATATATGATTCTGACTTCTTCATACCTTGTCTGGACAGTTGGCTAATTTGAGTGTATACAGCAGTCTATTCCATTTCAGACTTCATTCATTTTGGGTCTCTGTTCCTTTGGTTTCACTTTATGTAGGCCATGGTCTGTTTGAACTTGGAAACAGGGAAGTTGAATCTTCCTGTGTTCTAGAGGCAGCATATTGAAGAAATTAAATTGTGGACTCTGGAGCTAGATGGCTTGTGTTAGGATCCCCGCTCCATCATTTACTAGTGGTGTGGCCTTAGACAAGTTACTTAACCTGTTTGTACTTCATTTTCCTCATTTATAAAGTGAGAGGATTGTTTAAGTATTAAAAGACTTAATTGGAAGCATAATTCGAATAGTACCTAGCATGTGGTAAGTGCTGTGTTTGCTGTTGTCTTTGCTGCTTCTGCTTCAGCATTAGTGCTTATCTCCTTCTTATCATATCCATATCTTATCTCTGTTTTTGCCTCTCTGATTCATCATTGTCACTGCTTAGCATGAATTGCCCAGAAAAAAAAAAAAAAAAAGAACTTGACATTCTTCTGACATGTTAGATCTTTTTTAAGTCATGCCAATTGGCCATGACCCACTGTTATGATTCAGGTCCCCATATGTTTCCATACAGTATTGAGATGGGCAAAAAGGGAAGGGAAATGGTAGGGTGATGAAAAGGTGACAAGAGGAATTCATGGCTGCAAGTTGAAGGGAGTGAACTCAATCTATCTAAAAAATTCTGTGATTATAAATGAGTTTATTTATAATTAGAACTGAATCCTCAGGATGGGAGTATCAGGGACAGAAAGTAATAATTAAAAAAAGATTCTTATCTTTTTGTCAGGGTTGCTAATGGTGAAATCCCCTGAAAAATCTCAAAAAAAGCTATACGTTTACTTTAGGGACATCCAAGCATAGAAAATAAACTCTGAAACTGTAATTAAAAAAAACACAAACATTGAAATATGAAAGAGCTCTCTTGTCTGGGAGCTATTTTTTTTTTTTAATCTTTGTGTTTTGGGGGACGAAAAAGTAATTCTGTTTTAACATAACTGACTTGTAGGTGAACTTTCCAACAACAGTGTTTTTCTCAATTAGGAACTGCCTACGCTGTCCTTTCTCTGCAGACTTCTCATAAATCAGTGAGCTTCTAAATTTGAGATCTACCTCCCATGTATTTCATGAACACTGTCTATCTTTTGAATTAATTTTTTCTGTGCATACCAAACACATGGATAATTTTATCCTTTCAAAACATTATAAACATCATTCATTTGTAAATAGAGATTCAGGTTCAGAAAAGTGACTTAATGAGGGCATATAGCTAGTTGAAATTTAAATTCAGGTCATCAGACTCTCTAGTCCATGCTTCTTCATTGCTATCAAGCTTCCTACTGGGTGATTAAATATGCCTTTGTAGCCCTGGGCTTGCTTACATTGGGGTGTCTTTATTCAGGTGATTTCCTGCCTCAACTTAGAGCAGCTGGGACTATAGGCGCATGCATCATGCCCAGCTAATTTTTGTATTTTTCGTAGAGACAGGGTTTCACCATGTTGGCCAGGCTGGTCTTAAACTCCTGAGTTCAAGTGATCTACTGGGATTACAGGTGTGAGCTACCATGCCCAGCCCTATTTTTGTGTTTTAATTGCAGAAGTTAATTATTTTTGAGAAGGGGAGTGGCTAATAGAAGGCTGTTTAATGGAGGAGTATTATATTCTCTTTGTAAATAAGAGTAAAAAATATCACCAATTCATTTGTTAATATTTCCCTGTATTAGGCCTTCATGAAATAATGTAATGCTTGGCCTTGGAATGCCCATCTATATGGACTATATGGACTCAGCATTAATCTTGAGTAAATATATCATAGTTACAACTTATGATGTGAGCTGGGAATTGGCATACTTTATCTCATTTTCCAAAATATATGCAATGAATGTGTTTTTAAGGAAACTAAGGTTGAGATGATGGTCCCTTGATCAAGGCCATACTTCTATTTAGATTTCAATTCCAGGTCAGAGCTAGTGTCCTCTTTTCTTGACACAAAGGCAGTTTTAAAAACAAGTGCCGGTAGTTAAGCTATTTGACATTTGAAGTGGAGTTAATGTTTCAAATAGTATATTCTAAATTGGGATAAGGCAAGTCAATATGTACTGTTCTGTTATTATACAGAGCTAATTGCAGGCATTGATGTTCTGTAGCTCTGCTCATCTACATCACATATGTCCTCTTTTGCCAAATGAATTTTGTCTTAAAGAAGTAACAGGGCAACTTGTCCTTTCTAAGAGGAATCCCATTTTATCTTCCAGATAAACAATGAGAATGTGTGGTGATAGATTTCTTTTCTCTATTGAAGGAATGACTTACTGACTGTCTTCCTGATGATTCAGCGTTTTCTATGAGGCAAAAGAGAAATGGAACTATGGGGATAGTTGTGCAGATTTGTTTGGCAGCAAAGGCTCAGAGTGGGTTAGTGATGTGGATGTCAGCAATGCAGATCTATATCCAGTACTTCAAAATATCTAGTTAAGTATTGTCAGAGAAACATGAGATACGTGGATTGGAGGAGTTGAGAAGATTTCTTTGAATGGGAAAGAAGAGAACATTATAGTCAGGAGAGTATTTTAAGAACTTTTGAAAAATTTAACACTGTGCTCTGTTTTGTTCAGTTTTTCATCCACGATTTAATATATTATCTTCCAGTGGTTCATGTACTGCTTGAGTGTCACATTCATTTCTTTTATTCATTTTCCATTTTTTTTCTTTTTGACATGGAGTCTTGTTCTGTGGCCCAGGCTGGAGTGCAGTGGCACGATCTTGGCTCACTGCAACCACTGCCTCCTGGGTTCAAGTGATTCCCCTGCCAGTGATTCTCAGCCTCCTGAGGAGCTGGGATTACAGGTGTGCGCCATCACACCTGGCTGATTTTTGTATTTTTAGCAGAGACGGGGTTTCACCATGTTGGCCAGGCTGGTCTCAAATTCTTGACCACATCTTGGCTCCCAAAGTGCTGGGATTATGGTGTGAGCCACTGTGCTCAGCCCACAGTTCATTTCTACTAGGTATGTGTGTATTGTAGCCTCAGTTAGGGGTGTAAGCCTTTAAGGACGGGATCACATTTTCTACTTTTTATGTTTTTGCCCACAGAATTTCTTATGTGGAGATAAGTAAGCTCCTTATTCTACACTTGGTCATCTATAAGTGAATACAAGATTATAGTGGTCTGTATTGAGAACTTCTTTTTGAAACTTCCGCCATCTTATTCAAAACAGAATTTTTGTCTTTTACCTGATTATGCAAGTATTA